AGTATTCTAGGACTTAAAGGATATAATAATAAATAATAATAACAATATAAACTACATCCTTTTGTGGTTTTGTCAGAATCCATAAGAGGAACTAATCTTTTAACAGTAGAAGATCAGAGACATGGTAAATGAATGTTTATTTCGAATTTCGGTATCTCTATTTTGTTTCTTTCTGTGTTCCTTCTCACATCTTCCATGTGTTTCTACAACGCTGAATCATCTACTTTCTCTGACTGATATCAAATCTACCTCCCTACTATTTGGTGTGTTTTTAATACCGATGAATATTTCTTTATATACTATTGATAAATCTAATCAGTAGCATGCGCCACACTTGCTTTATATTACGCGCCAAGTACAAATAATAGGATAGGCGAAACGCTAAATTCCTTCCTTCAATAAGAGAAAATTTCTGAAAACCATTTAATAAAAAAAATTTACAAGTATTTGAAGCTATTTTAGAAAGTTAATATAGCTACCTAAGAGAGATAGTTGCCAAAAAAAATTCATTTCAAAACATTACACAGGTATTGATACTATTTTGCAATGAACTATATGAAACCAACTAGTTTTGATATATATTGGTAAACTTATGCCCCAATGAATTCTTCAACCACAACATATCATGCAATTGGATATGCGTAAAACTACCACTAAAGCAAAAATCAACAAATTTATGTAGGAGTGCCGTTTGAATAGTTTCCAATTATTATTATTATTAATAATATTATTATTATTAGTCGTTGAAATAAACACTAATATGAATACTTCTGTGAATTGCTTCTTTTAAGAGACGTTACCACTGTGCTATTCAGACTCACGATTGACATCCTGTAGGACTTTATTCGATATTATTTTGATCAGGCACTAGTCATTAAGTAGATTAATGTCCCTAGTCCTATCTTCGATGCAGACTGAATTCTATCAGTCAAGTCTGCAATGGCGAGGCTGAATTGCTCAGTGGCAACGTCTCTGACTGCATCACTGGGCGGTGACTTGGGTTCGAATCTCAGAAGGGACATTAGTTTCTTTGAGGTTGCAGATATGCCTTGCTGATGAGTGCCAACTAGCACGAAATATAAGTCCAAGGCCTTCTGACGATTGCCTCCAACCATACAACACCAATAATTCACAGTGCACCATAATAGCGAACCAGCCCTCCATCTGTAAGTAGTCCCGAAATAGGACGAAACAGTTGTCCAGTACTCTCAGGTTTTCCAGCGGCTCTCTAGCTGATGGCAGTTCATGATGAAATCCTCCAACTAATCAAACTAAATCCCAATCTAGTTTTCAAGTTGATTACGTAGCAGATAATTAAAGAAAAATAGAAAGATTTGAACAGTGATAACTTGTAATGAGATTCGTTGCAATGCTTTGCGAGTTCGTCTTCTACATACAGCTGAAGCCATAGCAATCCACCTGCAAAAGCCAAACTTGTGTGTTTAGAAGAAATTCCTACAGCCAGTTACTTACCTTGTCCATCATTACATGAATGTATAAACTGGACTGTTTCTCCTTCCGCTTATAAGCTTTTCAAAATTATCCAAATTATTTTATTCTTATGACTGTTTCATCTTTAATTCAAAGTTACCACTGTTCAAGTCGTTTTATTTTCCTTTAATTATACTTTGATAGGATACTAGTGAGTAACTAGTGTGATGTGTCTAGTCCTATCTTCGATGCAGACTGAATTCTATCAGTCAAGCCTGCAATGGCGAGGCTGAATAGCTCGTTGGCGGTGAATTGGGTTCAAATTTCAGAAGTGACATGATTCCTTTCGAGGTTGCAGATACGTTTTCCTGACTGGTGAGAGCTGACTAGTACAAAACATAGGTCAGACAAGACTTCCTCCACCGACTGCCTCCAACCATCTAATATCAAAGCTTAAGTATTCGCAGTTAAGAGTGATGCTGTTATTTTTTAGATGTATGCATTTAGAAAATGAAGAATCTTCTTGTAGTTGTCATTTAAATGAAATCAGAACCTGAATCGACCCAAAAGGACTATCTTTGTCATTCTGAGCCTACAACATTGCGTAAAAGTAAGCGTTCTATAGACGCATACTATAGTGTGCATCGTTGTAACAACAGAAGACAAGGGCCAGGCAACAGATCGTTTTATTATGAAAATCAACACGTATTTATACATCTTTCAACTACATTATTATAGACAAGCGCAGTCATCTGATTGGTTGTTTAGGTAGACAAACGCAGGCTTCTGATTGGTTGTTTCGGGATTCCTTGACAAATAGAGTTCTCTCTGCGAATCATATTTTGCCACGTTAACTTTGCTGTGATTGGTTGTTGACTCAGGCTTGTTCATATTTTCTCACGGCCCATATTAGTGACCTAGACCTTAACGTAGATTAGTGCCAACCAATCGGCTAGCAGCCTGCTCTCACCACACTCGTCCCCCCGTCAAATACGTGCGACTGAAGTCGGCTTGATCTACTTGGTGCAGGCGTCATCGTTGGCTTGTCTCGCTGTATCCATTTCTGGAGCTCGCTGACGTTCACGCGCCTCTTATTGTTCGCCATTGCGACTGTGTCTGCGTAACCCCATCTCGAAGTGACCATATATGGTCCTTCCCACTTTGGAAACTGTTTGCCTGACCCTGTCGAACATTCGTCCATACTTCGGCCCACACCTTCATATGCTGCTTTCGCCCGACCTCCCAGCAGCGTCTCAAGTAGCAGCTCCATCGCTGACAGATCTTGAACGCCACTCAACTGCGCAGAAGCCTTGAAGTCCTGCCCGAAGATCCATATGTCTCCATCAAAAACTGCAGGGTATAGGCTTTTCATTTGTCGGTAGGCAGCGACACCAAATGTAACAACAGAAGACAAGGGCCAGGCAACAGATCGTTTTATTATGAAAATCAACACGTATTTATACATCTTTCAACTACATTATTATAGACAAGCGCAGTCATCTGATTGGTTGTTTAGGTAGACAAACGCAGGCTTCTGATTGGTTGTTTCGGGATTCCTTGACAAATAGAGTTCTCTCTGCGAATCATATTCTGCCACGTTAACTTTGCTGTGATTGGTTGTTGACTCAGGCTTGTTCATATTTTCTCACGGCCCATATTAGTGACCTAGACCTTAACGTAGATTAGTGCCAACCAATCGGCTAGCAGCCTGCTCTCACCACATCGTGTCCATCAGTGAAATCAGGAAGTCTTGAAAACTGCAGTTCGCCTGTGAACATACACAATTTTTTCCTCACCTCAGAGTGAATGACTCACAGCCTTTTAATGAATCTTTTGTCATCAATGATTTCTCACTTCTGACTGGACAGTAGATGTTCTGAGTGCATACTGAATTCTACCAATCACGTTTGCAATGTGGCTACCATGACACTAGGTGGCTAGCCATCATGGTCCACTGTGAATTATTGGTATTAGATAGTTGGGGGCAATCAGCCACAGGAAGCCTTGTCGGGATTTAGGTTTCGTGCTAGTTGGCACTAGGCAGTCAGCAGGGCGGCGTATCTGCAACCTTGAAGGAACTCGTGTCACGTCAAACGCTGTCGCCTGCAGTCGGTCAAAGACGTTACCACTGAGAGGCGATTCGGGCTCACAGTTGACGTTCTCAAGGACTGACTGTATTGGATACTTTCGATGAGACATTAGAGTGAAGAAAGGACTCCATGACAAGAAGATGGGAAGGTTAACACTAGTGTTTACAGGAAATCTACACATTCAAACAGATATTTGGACCTCCGATCATCCCATCCTATGTCAGTAGAAATAGGATTGGTGAAATGTTTAAATGACAGAGCAGAAAAACTAAGTAGTACCAAGGAAAATCTAAGACAGGAAGTGATACACATAAAAGAAGCCTTGAAACATAATAATTATCCGGATAAATTAGTCAGGAAATATGTTAGGAAACATAAAAATAAAATAAATAATGATAGTAGCTATAGTGATGATAATAATAATAATGATAATGATAACACTAATAATGATAATAATAATAGTGATAATAATAATATTAATGATGACACCAACAATAAGCAATTTAAATCATCAGTAGTAATCCCATACAAGGAAGGAACCTCGTAAGCCTTACGCAGAATTCTTAACAAGGCAGGAATAAAAGTGGCATTCAAACCCACAAACTCAATTAGAAACAAGCTTTGTCAGACTAGCCGAACATAAAAACCTAGCAAAATCTAGATTGTCATACTGATATGACCACTGCACAAGATGTGGCTCTCGTGGCCCAAGTGGTCCAGTGGATAACGCTTTGGCGTTTGAAACTATGGGCACTGGGTTCGACCCTCGGTGGGAACATCATCACTCACTGAGAAATGCGGGTACATCCAGATGACGAGTCCCAAATTGGACGAAATGCACATCCAGGATTCCACTGCAAGTCACCATCCACCAGTTAAAATGTAGATTGTTCTACAAAAATAAGATGAGAAATCTAGAGAATAGTCCAGCTATACCACTCAATACATGCAGTTACACGCAACCATACAGTAGGAAGGTATAGGATGACAGTTTTAAAATCTAATACAACTAACACGGTGGAGGGAGAGATTGATAACAGAAGCTTTGTTTATCGAATCAACTGCAAATACATGTAATAGGAATGATTCAACACCTTTCCAGTCGGATATGTGGAAAATTGTACTTCTACAACGATGACAAATAGGAGAGGACAAAGAAAACTATAAAACTCAGGTGTCGAAGTTGTGTGATTATAATTGATGAAATGATTATGAACAATAAATTTTGTTTGAAACGTCATCCAGTAAATAATACTGTTTCACTGACCGTGTGATACACCTAATAAACCAACTAATATGGTATTACTTACTACCACAGTGCCCAAGTTTTACACACATATTAATTACTTTTATTCATTAAAAAAAAGATTGATTGACGTCGAAATGATATTAGAAGTAAAAATAAAATAATGTTCTACTCACTATTTCAACTTGAATTTCTCATCTTTGTGGTTTTTCTTTTCTTTTCTCTCCTTATAGATGTTACCTAGAACCAGAAGTGCCAGGAGTTACAATCAACTACTTAGAGCCCAACAGAATTAAACACTCACAACAAATATTTGATGAAAATGACTATAGACCAGTACAAATTCATTCAGGATTAGCTGCATCAATAAATGGTTCTACAGGAACTCGGCATTCATGTATAGGCTCCTGTATGAATTCATTTTCCTATGCAATCGATTCTGAAAATGGACAATGCTTTATTGAATTAAGTGTGCTGAATAAAAAACAAATGTGTGAATTAGTTGAACCAATATCACGGCCGTTTAAACTTAATTTTCGTCTAGTTCTTTGATTTGTTGTGAATTTACGTCGATATGAAAGCCAAAAACAAAGCGAAAATTAAAACCTTAGGAGAATCATTTAATCTATTATTACTGAGAATTTATCACACACACAAAATAGAGACCAAAGTATCTTAAGAAAGGGAGAAGTGTCGTTGCTGAACCAAGTCTTTAGATTTATTGTTGTATACCTCATATATATATATATCTTCTGTAATCTGCATGGTTCAGTATTAATGTAGTTACTTTTCTAAATGGGTTTTGGTTTCCCACCCTCCCTACACGAACTCTTCTTCTTGTTTCTAGTCTTTTATAACAATAGTATTTATCATTTACGATTTGTCGTGATTGTTAACTTCTTCAACTACACAAAAAAATCATGTGAAATTATTCAAACTATATCTGTTGAACTGTAAATTTATCACTATGGTAACCGTGTTTGTGTTTCAATTCAAGCGGTTTATTTAATTAATGACTAACACTAATGAAAGTTTTAAGACGAATAAAATTTATCTTTAAATCAGTCTATTGTGTGGGAGAAAGTATTCTATATTTGACTACAAATGCTTGAAAGCGATATGATGAATTAATTGGCGTATGCGGGCGGGTATACAAATCGTACTAATGATGTTAGCAGGCATAATAATCCCATGAGATACATGAAACTGGCTATTATTGTTGTTTCCTTTAATTACTAGAGAAACATAGGGCTTCACTCACTCACGTCACCATTGCGTTTGGTTCTCTGTCAAAGTTTTCATCACCTGGCTTCACGTCTGCCCTCGTGCTTTCATCTCCTCTTCACATGAACGCCTTCTCCATGTCACCCTCGTCATTTCACTCACTTGATGATTCGTTTTCTCAGAGTATGGCCACAGCCCACCTCCGTTTCTCCCTGCATATTTGTTACACAATTGGTTCTCTCACTGTTGCTTATCTTTTCTAGCCGGTCATCTGATCTTGAGTAGTATTGAGCAAAGACAGCCGTTGATGAAGGTGTGTGGTTTGTTCGAAGTAACCTTGGTGACGTGGAGTGGCGTCAAGTCTCTGATCCGTATAGTAAGTGGTACTGACTTCACGTTGCAGTTGAAAGTCCGAATCTTATTTCTCATTCTGAGTGTTGCTGTTCTCCACACAGACTTGATGAGAGTAACGAAAGCTTCCCTTGCTTTTTCGATCCTCGCTTTGATATCCTCATCAGTTCCATCCACCTGTAGTTGAAATTGTGCTTCCCAGGTAGGTAGGTAGGTAGGTAGGTGGGTAGGTGAAGGAGGTTGCTTCTTTCAGGTTTCTCACATTTATGTTGATTGTAGTCTGTTATTATTGGCCAGGAATCTTCATCACCTCTGTTTTCTTTGTGTTCACCTAAAGTCATTCCTATCTTTGATGAAGCTTCTTCTGCCAATTTGTAGCTTTTTACTCGTATGTGTTCCAGTTTGTTGGAAATCAGACACGTATCATTGATGAAGTCCAGATCCTCGAAGGTTTTTTCATGTGGGTCCATTTTATGCCTGTCTCCTCGTTTGCTCAGCCCGCTCTCTGTCGTCTCATAACTTAATTTTAAATTTATTGTTGAGTGGTAATGTTGCTGATTGTTGTCTGTTTTTGTTGTTGTTGCTGTTAGTGTGGCCATGAATCTTCATCACCCCTGTTTTCTCTATGTTCACTTGAAGTGATGTCCTATCTTTGATGCTTCTTCTGCCAACTTGTTGCTTTTCACTCGCATATCTTCCAGTTTGTGTTCGTCCAGTATGCATCCGTAAATAATGAAACAGAAGCTTCTTCTGAGTGAAGATGATTTCTAGTTGGTGAATTCCTATAGGCGAATCGATTATCACCTTCAATTAATCTTGAATTAAAGCTACTGGATTTGTACAAAGTTACTCAAGTTACAGGTCCTACTGAATTGAATAAGTATGAAAAACAGAACTCTGATCGTTTCAGATTCATATTTAAAAATAAATATACCACACTTAAAAAATTACCAGAAGAATTATTTATAATCAAGGCATTCACTGATATGTAATGGCCAAGAGTACGGCCCATGACCTGCGTTTCATCCAAATTTGGACCCATCCACTGGAGATGTGTGTATTTTAGTGAATGCTATTATTCTTATCATCGTGCAAATCAAAAAGTGTTATCACTAATAACACTGATTCACGGAAGCAGATTTTTGTGCAAAGGTTATCAATAATTATTTCTCGAAACTTGTATTTTTCCCGTTATTAACTGGACTGCATCCAAGAAGTAGGTTTCTCTTAGAATATTCAATTTCAATCGGAAGAAAAATCATTTACTAGAGTACAAGAATTTTTGAATTGTGAGTCCTATCGGAAAAAAGTGCAGATTCCTAATTCTGTTTGTAGCCATCAAGTATTAGTTGATATCAATTTACACTACTTGGACAAGGCAATACCTTAATCTTTGCAGCTTCCGTCCACTACAGTATAAGAGAGGTTTAGTAAGATGCTTATTCAGGAAGATTCAGCGTATTTGCACGGCTGGTGTTATGGAGAAAGAAAATGAAACAGTGATGGATACTCTTGTTGAAAACGGACATCATTCAAAAACTTTTTAAACAGGTGCAGAAGTCAGTTAGTCTTTAAACCTACAATCTATGCCGCCACGAAGAAAAATGTTTTCATAAAATTACCATATAACGGTGAAATGAACAGAAGAATTTTGAAACAAAGGTCAAATTCTGTCATCCGTAGGACCTACTACGCGGCCTGGCTTATAATTATCGAGAAATCCAAAGATATGCTCCAAACTCAAACCTCAAAAGTGCACAGGTGATTATGTCACATCCCACACCATTTACCAATTTACGTGTATGCACGGACAAACAAACATAGTTAGGAGTAATCGCCCTAAGCAAGTGAGGTTGAGAGAGCATATGTTGAAGTGACTAGAGGAACAGACGAACTTTGGAAAATAATCAACGCAACTTTTGGTAATACAGTTACACAAGGATTACCAAGGTAAGCTAAGAGTAATTATTATTATCGTTGTATCCTTTAGTTCCTAGAGGAACATAGGGCTTCAGCTGCGCACCTCCATTGCCTTCTGTTTTCTGGCAACTTTTTCACCCTGCTCCAGGTCTGTCCACATGCTTTCATCTCCTCCTCGCATGACCTCCTCCAAATCACCCTTGGACGACCAACTTGCCAACATTCTTTCGGGTTCCACTCGAACGATGGCTTGTCTGGTGATGTCACTTGGTGGTTTGTTTCTTCAGAGTATGGCCAATCCAATCCATCTACCTCCATTTCTTCCTGCATATTTGTTGCACAATCGGTTCCTGCTGAGTTGGTTCGCTCCCAGAGATATCTCCCTATAGCCGATCTGCTTTGGTCATCTGATCTTGAGTATTGAGCGAAGATAACTGTTGATGAAGGTCTGTAGTTTGTTTGAGGTGCTCTTTATGACGCGCCAAGTCTCTGATCCGTATAGTAGCACTGACTTTACAATGCATATAACAATCCGGATCTTATTTTTCATGCCGAGTAGCGCTGTTGTCCTCCACACAGACTTGATAGTAATGAAAGCTTATCTTGCTATCCCTATCCTTGCTTTAATATACTTATCAGTTCCGTCCGCCTGTAGTTAAAACGATGCCTCCTAGGTAGGTAAAGGAAGTTGTTTCTTTTAGGTTCCTCCCACTTCTGGTGATTGTTGTCTGTTGTTGTTGTTGTTGCTGTTGATGTTGGCCAGGAATCTTCATCACATACCTCTGTTTACTCTATGTTCACCTGAAGTGATGTCCTATCTTTGATGCTTCTTCTGCCGACTTGTTGCTTTTCACTCACATATCTTCCAGTTTGTGGGAAATCAGACATATATCATCGGCGAAGGCCAGATCCTCCAAGTTTTTTGTGTGAGTCCATTTTATGCCTGTTTCCTCATTGCCCGTTGTCTGTCGCATTATCCAATCTACTGCAATCAGGAAAATCATTGGTGATAGTAGACAGCCTTGCCTCACTCCCGTCCTCACTTCGAAGGCTTCCGTAAGTTTCCCGTTGTGGATTACTTGGCATGCAGCATTGTCGTATAACTGTTGGATGAGATGTATAATTGTCAATGGGACCCCGTAGTAGCGAAGTAGTTGCCAAATGACTTCCTGATCGATGCTGTCGAAGGCCTTTTCAAAGTCGATGAAGTTGAGATAGAGAGGTGACTGCCATTCCAAGCTTTGTTCAATGATGATCCGTAGTGTGGCGATTTGATCAATACATGACTTTTTTCTCCTGAATCCAGCCTGTTCCGGACGAAGTTTTTCATCCAGGGCTTGTTTGATTCTCTCCAGGATGATGCGACTTAGTATTTTGCTTGGAATGGACAGAAGCATAATTCCGCGCCAGTTTTTACATTGACTTAAGTCTCCTTTCTTTGGAAGTTTGAATAAGTATCCTTTCTTCCAATCCTCGGGTACTTTGCCCTCTTTCCACACCTTCTCCAGTAGTGGCGTCATCAAGTCCGCTGTTGTCTCTGGGTCTATTTTCAAAGCTTCTGCTGGGATTCCATCTGGTCCTGGTGCTTTTCCAGCTTTAAGCATCTTGATTGCATTCAGGACTTCTGATTTCGTCGGGGGGTCAATGTTCACTGGTAGTTCTGCTTCCGTTGTTGGTATTGTTGGGCGCGTTGTAGGTGGCGGACGATTTAGAAGTCTTTTGAAGTGTTCAGCCCAGTGCTTTCTCTGTTCCACCTCTTTGGTGATTGACTTTCCATTGTCGTCCTTTATTGGCTTAATCTGTGTCGAACGTTTGCCCGATAGGTGCCTAGTTGTTTGGTAGAGTGTGGCGAGGTCTCCTTTGCCTGCAGCTTGTTCTGCTTCGTTTGCCATGGTTTCATAATATTTTCTTTTGTCTTCCCTGGCACTTTTCTTCACTCTTTTGTTCAGTGTATTGTAGCTTGCATTCAGCTCCTGTTTTTGTTGCTCGTCAGTGCACTGGATAATCTTTTGCTTCACTGTCCTTCTCTCTTCTATTAGTTTCCAAGTGTCCGTAGTGAGCCACTGTTTGTCCTGTCTCTTTTTTCTGCCTAGAATTTCTATGCAGGTTTGGCTCCACACCGTTTTCAAGTTGTTCCAGTGCTTTTCGACGCTGACCTTTTCGCTGGTGTTGATTTGTGCCTCGGCTTTGTCCTTTATGCTTGCAATGAAGATGTCCTTTGTAGCCTGGTCCTTCAGCTTTTGAGTGTTGAACTTGGCTTGTGGTCTATCTGCAGCTCCTGATTCCCTGAAAGCTTTTAATTTGATTTGGATTGTCCCTTGTACGAGATAGTGGTCTGAGCCAACGTCTGCTCCTCTTCTTGCTTTTGTGTCCAGTAGGCTGCGCCTCCACTTCCTTGAGATTGAGATGAAGTCGATTTGGTTTTTGGTTTGCCCGTCTGGTGACACCCATGTAGCCTTGTGGATATCTTTGTGCTTGTATACACTGCCACCAATCACTAGTTCGTTGAAGGCGCAGAAGTCGGCGAAGAGTTCTCCATTTTCATTCATT